ACAAATCTCCTCGCTGCCTCTGTGGCAGGGAGGGGCTGTGACACAGGGGACGCAACAGGAAGAGGAAGTGAGGAAACCTCGTGAGTGTTAGACAGAAGCTGCTGCAGAGCCCACATACTCCTCTGACAAAGGTCCAGAACACCAGAGAAGAAGTCTGAAGACCTCCAAGTGTTCAGGAGGGCTGAACAACCCCAGGCCACAAAATTCACTTTACATCCAGATCACAGGACAGGAGCGCTTTAGAGGGAGGGTCCTCACGTGGACAGGTATACAAACATGTGAATGGAAAGTGTGTGTGTGTGGGTGTTCGATCTGGTGGGAAAAGATTAGGAGCCGCAGGTGCTTCAGTACAAACACCATCGGGTCCTGGAGCTCCGGAGGCCAGCAGGGACACGTCTGCATTGGTGACTCCAGTAACAAACATCAGTGTTTACCTTCATCCACCTTCTGCTCTGGTGTGGCCCTCATTGGCTTCCAATCGCTAATCAATAACCAAAGACACAAATCAAGAGTCTCAAATACTGATTTGTATGTCTGCAGTCATTTCATCTTTTAGCTGTGACCTTTGAACTGATAGCCTTTAAAGCCCTTAAACCTTTGTCACCGAGTCTGTTCCACGCAGCAGGGACACACCTGAGTCCCTCGCCCTGTTGGCTACCTGCCGTTAGCACCTGACGCTGTGTCCCCAGCTGCCCTCATCGTTAGCACACCTTCATCCCGGGATGTCGCTTCCTTCGGTCTGTAGTTTGAATGATTTACCTGTCCCAGCACGTCCACACACGGAGTCTCCCCGCCATTCAGAACCCCATTGAAAAAACGCTACATTTAAGTTTCTCTGAACAACCGAAAACATTTACAAGAGCGAGCTAGCAGCAGGAAAATGACCTAAAATAAACAACTGATAACTTTATTGTTAATTGTTTTAACGCCGAATCGGTACGGAGATCTGACTTCATCGGAAAGCACTCAGACTATGCTGAAAATTTGGTCCTATTTTCACCGATTAACGGACACGATGTAAACAGCAGATTTTTGAATAGGGTCTGGTTTGATCCGAACGCACGGGGAACAGAGTATTTTCGCAGCAGTACCTTTCACGTCCTGGGCCAGAGCCTTCCATGTGCTGGAGTACTGGATGCAGTGTCCGCACCAGGACGAGAAGAACTGGATGAGCCAGGCCGAGGACGAGTTAGTGACGGCGGACTTCAGGCTGTCGCTGCTCAGGATCACCAGCGGGTCCTCCTCCGTGTAGAGCCGGCCTGCGCCTCCCAGGGAGCCGGGCACCAGGCAGAGGACCGCCGCCGCCGCTCCCAGCCAGAGCATCGCCGCCATCCGAGAACCAATACACCGCGAACAGGGAGTCAGAGAACCGCAGAGTCCGAGCCGGAAACCAGCCTCAACAGCCGGGGAGACATGAGAGCAGAGGCCCGCTGAACGTACGAAGCTCGGAGGACAGAGGCCTCACTCCGAGCCTATACCGGGACACCGGCGCACGCGCAGTCTGTTTCTGTATGGGTCAGTTTGAGTGGGACAGTGTCCGTGACGCTGTGACGTAGTGGCTCGTGTTGCTTTAATAGACGATCTCCGACGAGCGTGCACTGCGCGCGGTCTGACGCGTTATCCCTCTGCTGCGTTCACGAGTGCTCGGAAAAGTTAGACTTCATTGATGAGAGCCGTGCGTTAATACTCAAGTACGCATGTTCGTACTCGCGTGCTTGTCCGTTCCAGTCGGTACTTCGTGCGGACCTCCTCTACAGCTGGAACTGCATTTAATTTAACCGTGATTAATATTTGCAATGAAAATGACACGTGATAGAAAAATTACATGAACTAAACCATTTCTTTAAGGAAAAATGTAATTTCAATTTAAGCGCAAATTCGCCTTTGCACTGTCAGTCAAAGTTTGGACACACCTTCTCATTTCATGGTTTTTCTTTACTTTTGCTACTTTCTACATTATAGATACCAACTGAAGACATCAAATATATGAAGATATATGGAGTTATGCAGCAAAGAAAAAATGATAGATAACTCTAAATGTTTTATGTTTTAGATTCCACCCTTTGCTTTGTTGACAGCGCTGCAAACCCTCGTTCTTCTTTTAGTGAGTTTCATGATGTAGTCACCTGACATGGTTCCACCTCACAGGTGTGCCTTTCACACGGGTTCAATGGTGAAATTTCTTGCCTTCTTAATGGGGTTGGGACCATCAGCTGTGTTGTCAGAGGTCAGGTTGGTGCACATCTGACAGCCCTATTAATAAAACTTGAGTTGGTCCTGCGGGGCAGCAGGTGATGGAGGCGGAGACATTCATGAGGCTCCCACAGGTTGGTGACAGATATCAGACTGTAAGAGAAAGCAGCGCTTGATTTATAATGCAGGAAAAACAAAGGCATCCATTCTTCTTGCTCCGAGCTTCAGCTCGCTGTTTCAATCCTGCTTTAATCTGGTTTCTGTTGCAGTTTCCAATTCCCTACAGCCTGTGAAAGCAACATGGCTCTCTGCCGCCCCCTGCAGGCCGAGCAGCAGAACAACCGGAGGTCCTGAAGGTTGACTTGGTTGGATTGGCAGGCAAAGATCAGCTCTGCTGAATGTTAAAATGAGCGTGGGTACTGTCACAGCTGTTCAGAGGTGTGCCGATGGAAGCTGAGCCACGGCGCTCACCAACACCTTAGTGATGACGCCATTTCAGACTCTCAGGCAAACCAAGCTCCGCCCTCCGCTTCTTCACCACTGCTGGTCTGCAGGGTGAAATATTCATGTTTGTAGTTTTGATCATTTCTGATCTGTGACCCCCTCACTGAAACAAGCTTCATCAGTATTGAGCAGTGGGGCACTGGGGGAGCCTGGGCTGCAGACTGGAGGACCTGGCAGTTGAACCCTCAAACTCTGAAACAATCAAAACAAACAAAAGTACTACAAATACTACTATAAATACTACTACCAGTACTACAAAATAACCGGGGGACGGTTTGTGGTCAGTGTCATGATAGGTATGAATAGTTACTGATTCAGATGTAGTTCATGTGGAAGCCCAGTACTCAGATACTCAGATACTCAGATACTAGGACGTACAGCTTCCAGTAACTGTCTTAGTACAAGATGACCATCCAGCTGCTGACCCATCCACTCACTGACAAACTGAGCAGCGTTACGCACAAAGAGAAAAAGAGATGTTAGCAGTGCAGAACGTTTCCATCAGTGAATGTGGAGACAGAGCAGAAACTACTACAGTCTCATTAGGAATACACAGACTCCTAATGAGACTGCAAAAATGTCAGGTACAGGTTCAGTACAAGCCAGGAAATGAAATGTACATCACATGTCAGGCTTTAGCTCAGGA